TGAGCTCGTGTAAGAAGGTTAAGGGCATATTTAGTCTGGCAGAGAAAGAGGTCAGCAGAACTACGTGTGGCTGCAATACCCAGAAAGTAATGAAGAGAACCCAGGTCTTTCATGTGAAAAGTAAGACTCAGAGACTTGATTAAGTCAGCAAGGAGTTGAGAGGAGTTGTCAGTCAGTACAATATCATCAACATAAAGAAGCAAGAGAATTGTGTCTGTACCTCTATGGTACACAAAGAGAGAGGGATCTGTGGTGCTGCAAAAGAAGCCTGATTCAAGTAAAAAATTGCTGAATTTCTCAAACCATGCACGCGGAGCCTGTCGAAGTCCATATAAGACTTTTGAAGTAAGCAGACATGATGAGGTAATGTAGGATGGACGAAACCAGGAGGATACTCCATATAAACAGATTCAGTCAATGTGCCATGTAAAAATGCATTTTTTACGTCGAGTTGATGAATAGGCCAATGCTGCACCATAGCTACTGACAAGACAACACGTATGGTTGCTTGTTTTACAACAGGGCTGAAAGTTTCAAGATAGTCTACTCCTTCTTGATGAAACCCTTTAGCCACCAAGCAAGCTTTTAACCTGTCAAGGCTGCCATCAGATGCTAACTTGGTCTTATACACCCATTTACAGCCTATGACATTCATCTGAGCAGTTCGGGGAACTAACACCCAAGTTTGATTTTCATACAAGGCAGCCATTTCTTCTTGCATTGCATGAATCCAGCCTTCATGGGCTAAGGCTGACTTAAGTGATTTTGGTTCAGGAGGGACACTGTATTCAGCTAAGCAGGCATATCTGGGATTTGGTTTCATTATGCCAGACTTAAGTCGAGTTTGCATAGGATGAATAGAGATATCACAGTGTTGAGGAGGGGAGGAAGACTGATGTTCTTGATCAACAACAGGTATGCTAGGTGCCGTAGTATGCGAAGCAGAAGAATCTGATGGTCCAGGAGCAGCAACATCTTGTGAATGTGATGAAGACAGATCTGGGCAATGGTTAGAATTGTATGGTATACGAATTTGGCCTACCTCCAGAACACCACTATCTTGTCGATGGCCAGTGTGACAATTGTTAGTTTGTCTAACTGTATTTGCCCTGGTAGAATCCATAAAAGTTACCTCATCAACCCATTTTCGATACAGAGATGTATAGTGAGGATAATCTGCAGATAATTGCTTGGCAAATGGAAAGAAATCTTCATCAAATGTCACATGTTGACTGATATGTATTCTACCATCAGTAGGTACCAGACATCGATACCCTTTATGTCTCTCACTATACCCCAGGATACACAAGTGAGGGATCGAAGGTCAAATTTGTGTTGAGCATAGGGTCTGAGTCAAGGATAACAAGCACATCCAAAGACCCTGAGATGATCATAGTTGGGCACTTGTTTAAAAAGTTTACTGTGAGGTGAGTCCATCTGCAGCTTTGGAGTTGGAAGCAGATTAATAATATAATTCGTAGTTAAGAATGAATCAACCCAGTAGTATAATGGTGTTCGAGCATGATAGAGCATAGTGAGGCCCAATTCTACCACATGACGATGTTTCCTTTCAGAAATTCCATTTTGTGCAGGAGTATACGGGTAGGAGATATATTGTTTAATACCACAGGTTTCTAAACGAGTCTGAAACCTGGTACTAGTGAATTCACCACCACCATCACATTGGAAGACTTTGATTTTGTGGTCAAACTGAGTCTCTACATATTTCTGAAATAGAAGGAAAATATTATAGAACTCGGATTTGTATTTCATTGGATAAAGCCAACTGTATCGAGAGAAGTTGTCCACAAAAATGACATAAAACTTGAAGCCCTGAACAGAGATTACTGGTGAAGGACCCCAGATATCACAGTGTATCCTTTCGAGAGGAAGTTCAGTTACAGAATGGGATAAAGAAAAAGGTAGATTGGTACTCTTGACAAGTTGACAACTGCCACATACAGAGGAAGCTTTCTTATTATAGCTGATCCACTGTTGTTGTTGAAGATACTTCAAGGTCTTTGTGTTGGTATGAGCAAGTCGTTGATGCCATATTTCCTCTCCAACAGCTTTATGTCTTTGTGTAAACAAAGCTTGTGTTGCCTTCTAATCCACTCGATAAAGTCCCTCAATTTTCAGCCCGAGCTTCACTGTGGAGTTGGTTCGATTGTCCTTAACATAGACACCATTTTTATCAAACACAAAGGAGCAGGGAAAGTCATCAGTTAGTTTTGAAACTGAAAGAAGATTTTTCTTGATTTCAAGTACTAACAACACATCATTGAGAGGTAATGCATCAATTGCAGTAAGTAATAATGCATCACCAGTATGAGTAATAGGAAGACATGATCCCTTTCCTATCATTACAGAATCAGTTCCAGTGTACTTTGAGGAGTTATGAATTATACCCGTATTGGCTGTGATGTGAGCTGTGGCTCCTGTGTCAGGATACCATTCATTGCCCGTAGAATCCTCAAAATGCATTGCTGTTAGAGCTTGTGGAATATATGTACCTTGATAAGAGTTATCAAATCTATACCAGCATCGAAGAGCATCATGCCTTGGACGTTTGCAGATTTGGCAAGTTACTCGAACTCCATCTGTGGCTTTTTCATCCTCAAAGTTCTTGTGAACTGCTAAGTTGGGAGATGGATAGGAGTTAGTATCTTGATACCTCTGTGATGAACTAGCATAAGGTCGAAAACCATGATTTGAACCATAGAAATTATTCCGTGGACTAAAGTGTTGAACCTCCTAATCTTGATTCAGATTAAATGGTTTATAATTCTGGCTTCTTCCTTGATATCCATAACCACAAACTCGATTGTCAAATGGACGACCTCTACCATAGTTACGTCCCCCACGGGTGTTCCCTTTTTGGCCTATAAATGCAAAATTCTATTGATGCAGTTCTCTGTCAAGTACCACCTTCGGTTCTATCTCTAGACTTCTTTCTCCATAATAGGCCATGTTAGGATTATACTGGCTCGAGGAATAGTTTTGCAGTCTTGTTTCAAATCTTTCTAGTTGTGATATTACCTCATCATAATCAGGTTGAGGTTTCAAGCAGTATATAGTTGTTCGAAAATTCTCATACTCTGAGCCTAGGCCCTCCAAAACACCAAAGACTTTAGTTATCTCATCAACAGGCTTCCCAATTGCATCTAACTGATCGCAAATCAGTTTGTATTCCCTAAGATAATCATAAAGTTTTCTATTTCACTTCTGACATGCTTGAAGTTTCCTCCTCAGTTCAAACTCTCTAGCTACTGATTTCTATGTGAAACGATTCAGTAATGTTTGCCATACCTCATAAGATGTTTCCAGGCCAATGATCAGCCCTAGTATATGCTCAGAAACTGCACCACTAATCCATGATGATACCAGTTGATCAGTTTTCACCCAATCATTGTATTCAGGATTCACAGCTTCAATCTCGTTCCCTTCAATATCGAGTTGTAACTTCTGTGGTGGTGAAATTTCTCCACTGACGAAACCAAATAGCTCTTGACTCCGGAGAAATCTGTGAAACTGAATCTGCCAGAGAAGAAAATTGTCTTCTGCAAGTTTGATTGTAACAAAGTTAGAAATGTTTACGTGGATAGGAAAAGGATATCTTGGTATTCTCGCTGCCATTGCTGTGTTCTTCAAGAGAAAAGATCAAGATACACAGCTTTGCTCTCAGAGACAAGCTCTGATACCATGTGAAGAACTTGAGAAATGAAGAAAGAAGAAAAGGAAGTTTACAGTTGAAGAACTTGAACTACATTCAGAATTTCATCTGAGAGCTTAACCTCTCTCTTGTGTATCTTGCTGCTTATATAATACGTACAGCTCATACACCAGAAATACAACTGTACAACTGAACTAACAGAAGAAACAAATCAGTACAACTGAACTAACAGAATGTCAACTACTCTGTTTTCCCTTAGCTCAAAGAACAGAATTCAGTTACACAGAATATTAATCCATATTTGATGCGTATAGAAGACTTGAGCTTTCTTCAGCTTTCCACTTCTTCTTCTTTCTTTCCTATAGTGTCAACAAGTTTGACCGCCACGTGCCAAGGTACATCGTACTTGTCATGATTTATTACCATGTATCGTAATCGACTAACACTTGTCACAATTTGATCACCACCTGTCAACACCAACCCAATGGGCAAAGTAAAAAGACCTATGAATAGGCATTTGGAAGTTGAGAAACAGGTTTGGAGCTCTTGACTCCAACTCTAACTTCAGCATCGGCGAGCAATCCTGGCTATAAGCCCGGATGCCCTAATCTGTGTTGGTTGTGGCAAGTCCAATTCGAGGCAGAAGCCTTAACGGATTCTTGAAGACTAATTATGAATCGACATCTATTATAAGTTATATTCCTTCAATTTTCAATTCACATTACAATTACCGTCACGCCTTGAATGTACAGAAAACTTCTATCTTCTTTGCCCTTTAATATCAAAGCATTTTACTTTTGAATCCCAACCTTTCAAGTCCTATCTTTTATTCTCCCAAATTCGGCAGGCCCTCTAATTTCAATTTCAACTTAAGATTTGCTTGGATTTGATCCCGTCGCGGTAAATGCGAACCAGAGAGTGAGATTCAATTTCTCTGTCCCAATTATCTGAAGTCAGACTAGCGTTGTTGAGAAGTGCTATTTCCTGGTTACCAAACGCATTATCTTCCATGTGGCGAACTCGTCGGGCAGTGAAAAGATTCGAGAGAACTTACATATATTCTCACCGTCAATGTTGTAACAAATTCATTTGTCGTTGAGACAACCTCTTAATAATAGCGTCCTATATTTTTTACCAAGCTTTGGTAATTGGCCCTCATCATGTTTCATTTTACCTAAAACTGTCTAAATTACATTCAACTTCTCTGCTCTTTGATAAATTGAAACACAAGAATGATTATTTTTGCCACTTTCCATCAATAGCATGGTCAGAAATTTATAAAAATAATAAAAATTTGGCGGACAATCTCTTACAATGAAGGCAAAGACCAAACACATTATATGACATGATGTTCACACTTAAGGGGATGCACTCCAACGTCTTCTGATTCTCTCCTGTGCATCTGTTACTCTTGATGATCTTTCAGCCTTACATTCACTCACGCGCAGCTCCTCCAAGGATGTCAAATTCTCGAGGCCTTCGATGTCGTGGATCTTCCGGCATCGATGGATTTCCAGGACTTTTAACATGGTGAGGTTGGATACACTGGGCAAATTGGCGAGGGTTTTGCAGTTCTTGAGAGACAATCTCTTCAATGATATCAAATTGGAGAGGCCATTGAGATGTACCATCTGGCGGCAGCACGACACGACCAGGAGCTCTAGACTTGTTAGCCATCTAAGCCCTTTAATCTCTTTGACAGCCGAGTTCATGAGCTCTAGCTCCAACAAATTATCCAATTTCCGAACTGTCGGCAAACTCTGCAGCGACAAACAAGCTTGGATCAACAAGATGGACAACGATGAGGGAAGCCTCGATACTACTTGAAGATTCCCGCCCATCAGGACAACTTTCTTGAGCTGAGAATTGCATGTAGAGCCGTACTCAAATTCCAAATAGGTGATTTGGGAATGAGACAACTCAAAGCTCTTGAGCTTCGGAAACCTTACGGGCCAAAGACACTGCGGCTCGGTCAAAATGGATGCGGGTTCAAACTCCAAAGGAGGAACTATCAGCTCCTTGGGATTCTCATACCCGAAGATCAAGTCTTCCAATTCAACTAAATTCTGAATATCGGGTATTTTGCTCATCTTCTTTGAACTTATGCGCAGACAAATCAAACTCGAGGGAAGCATTGGCAATGTTTCAAGGTTGTCGCAAGCAAGTAAATCAAGGGTCTGGAGATGGCTTAGCGACTGGATTGACGGTGGTAGGCTAGAAACACAACTATATCCTAGGATCAATATTTTCAGGAATTGTAGTTTTCCAATGTCACCAGGAATGCTCCCCTTTAAACTCCTACAGTGGGAGGCATGGATCTCTTCAAGCTTCCTTAGCTTGCTAATGGCACTAGGAAGTTCTCTCACATGACAACGCTTCATCTTCAGAACTCTCAGTAGCTGCAGGTTTCTCATGGAGGCGGGCAGTTCCGAAATAAGCGTCCCCGATATATCCAACTCCACCAATGAGCATCCTAATTCGCCGATAGATTCTGGAAGTCTCTGTATCTCCCGGCAATCCCTCAACGACAACCGTTTAAGTTTCACCAAACTTCCGATTGAATAGGGGAGTTCGAGGATCTTCACGTTGTCCAGCAAGAGCATCGAAAGAGCTTCTGTATAGCAAATGGATTCGGGCAGCTTAGTTAGTGAGTGGCAATTGGAGGCACTAAGAGTTTCGAGTTTCTTCATACGATGTATGGATTCAGGGATTTCTTGTATAGAAGTCCCATCTATGAGAAACTCTTTCAGCTTTTCCATGTTACCCATTTCCCGTGGCAACACACTAAGACTGCAGCAGGATTTCAAATTCAAGGAAACCAAGCTTCTTAGTAAACTTATTGAAGAGTCTATCCTGACCAATTGAAAACAACTTTCGAGAATTAACATCTCCAACTGCAGGTAACCGGAGAAGTTGGGAGTTATCTGCATTTCATTACACCCTGTGAGGTTCAAAACTTTCAATCGTGGCATCTGCAATCCAAAAGAGAATATATTTCACACAAAGTTAATTCCAGGTGATGAGTCAAATGAAATGAAATATGTTCCATGTCACCTTGATTTGACTCCAACCCTTCCATTTATGAGTGACCTTACTCCATGATAAATCAAGAATCACCAACTTGTCCAGATGCAAGTTCTTGGCTTCAAAGGTCGCGGGGCACCCTCGCCAGTCAAGCCACCTTAAACTGGAAAGTAGATTCGTGAAATCTCCCTTGATACTAGCATTGTCCAATTTGAGGAACCTCAGCTCGTACATGCTTTGAAATTCTTCACGTGTGAAGCAATCGTGTGAACCATTGTCGAACTTGAGACAGAGGGCTTTAACCTTTTTTCTTCCCTATAAATTGAAAGAAGAAAATGTTGAAATAGTTTCTTATCAAGAAAGAATTGATTGTTGGACATGAAAAGAGGTGATTGTTGACATGAAGAGAAGTGATGGTTGATCATGAAAAATGATACGATTGATCATGAAAAGTGGTGATGGTGGGGGATAAGGTACCTATTCCTAGGAAATGTGTTGATTAGTTGTTTGCAAATAGGAAAAAATCATACGTTGTTTATCACAACTATTCATTACGACAATAACTCTCTTTTCTACATAACATTCTCTCTTATTCTCTTTTAACACAAAGTTTGCTAACACATTAAAGGTGAAATTCATTGAGAAAAATTGAATAATGGTTGAACTCGTTTTTCTATGGCTTTGGTGTATATCCTAGAGATATATTTGTTTTAAACCTGGTAGCAAGAATAGTAGGGGCAAATAATATCTTAAGGACAATAATCAACATCATGCAATAAAGCATCAAAGAATTATAAACCACTGTTCTATCTCCATCAGCAATCAAATTTCCCCAATAATCTTAAGATATTGTTATTTTCATGAAGATGGAAACATTAGCTGCATCAAGTGCTTGAAATCTTAACAAATAAGGATCAATGAAACTTTTGTTTTTGTTTATATGCTTGAGTCATCTTTCTTAGGGCATAATAGATTATCTCATGCTGGCTATAATACTTTGAAATTTATGAATAAAAGTGGCCTGATATCATGTGATAATTTGAATAAGAAGGATTGTGCAATATGTTTACAAGCAAAGATGACAAAGAAATCATTCTCTAGGTATAAAAATTTAGAGGTGGAAATCATTATGTTATTACTTTATTTATGATTACTCCAGAAATACTCATGTCTTCATAATGAAATCAAAAGATCAACCTTTTGATGTGTTCAAAATATATATGAGGCTATAGTTGAAAGTCAAGGAGATGCAAAAATCGAAGTTTTGAGAAGTGATCAAGGAGGAGAATACTTCTCATTAGATTTTTCTGCATTTTGTGAAGAAAATGGTATTGTGCATCAAGCAAGTGCACCTTATACACCACAGCAAAATGGATTGATAGGAAGAAAGAATCGAAGTTTGGTAGATATGGTTAATTCCATGATCTTACAAGCAAAATCGTCAATCAATTTGTGGGGAGAAGCACTTTTTGATGCATGTCATGTTCACAACAAAATCTTTTAAAGAAATTTAAGATATCTTCATATGAATTATGGAAAGGAAGCATACCAAATATCAAATACATACCAGTGTGGGGATGCCTAGCGTACTATAGAATTCCCGATCTTAAGTGAATCTTAAGTGAACCAAATTAGGACAATTGTTGATGATTTGATAAAATACATTAGAATTGAGGAAGGTTTTAGAGATCGTATGGCTAATTATATGAAAGAAGTTGCAAACAATGTGCAATTTGAGAATGGCAACATGAGCAGAGACAGAAATTGACTATTTTGATGCATATGCACTTGGTACTCAAATAACATCCATTAAAGTTCTGTCAACTTTGGCATCAATTTATAAATTGCATGCACATCAAATGGATGTTAGAATAGTTTTTCTAAAAGGTAAATTAGAAGATGAGGTGTACATGGATGTTAAGACAGTTTTTCTATGTGAATTCTACTTGTTAGAGTCTGAAAGGAAGCATGGCATAGATACAATTGCAAAACAGAATATTTTTACCTCCCTGCTGCTTAAGATTTTAAGCGCTTCCTCGTGATCCCACAACCTGCTGCGCCTTCCAGGGTTCGTGAGGTCTTCCTTGAGGACAATTGTTCGACCAAATTCTCTTAATAGATCATACACCGAGAGCTCGTTATTCTCTTCGATTTTCACCAGGGATGTGAGAACGAGACTCTCGACACCACTATGAGGATTCAAACCGCAGTCCTCCCACATGTAGAAGGGAATTCTCTTGTCCTTTCCTATAAACAAACAAGCTATATCGAGAAATATATCTTTTGTCTTTTGATCTAGAGCTTCATAGCTCGTCGTCAATACTTTTTGGACAGTATCGCTTGCCTCTTCCTCTTCCTTTAGTTTTTGTAACGTCTCAATCCATATTCGTATGTCTTTTCTGTACAGAAATGAACCTAAAACCTCGATAGCTATAGGAAGCCTTCCAATTGAGGAAACAATGTGCCCGGACAGATTATCATAGTTCTCATCGGGAGAACTTCCCCCAAAAGCATGTAGACAGAAAAGACGAAGGGATTCATCAAAATCTATGGGCTCGACCTCATAAATCTCAACCTCTTTAGGGATATTAAGAAGATCAGCATTTCTGGTCGTTACAATTATCCTGCTTCTCGAACCAAACCAGCTTAGCTTCCCGGCAAATGCTTCGAGATGGTGCTGTTCATTGACATCATCAAGCACGATGAGGACTCTCATATTGAGAAACCTTTTTTTGATGAAGTTAATACCTCCTAAGGAATCAAAGCTTTTGGGATCTTGCTTTAGCAGGTCAGAAATCAGTTGGCTTTGCAGATGCTCCAAGGGCTCGGTTTTCGATATCTCTCCAATGTTTCCCAGATAGCTACAGCCTTCAAACAGAGGATATAGTTGGTTGTAAACGAACTTTGCAAGAGTTGTTTTCCCAATCCCCCCAATGCCATGTATTACGACCATTCGGACCTCATTGTTGGGTATTTCAACCGCTTGTCCATTGCTATAGTCGACGGCAAGCCTCTTCATCATCTCGCGGACTTGATTATCGATACCAATTGGCATGGAAGTACCAACTAGTTCAGCTTTCTTCAGCTGCCGAGTGACATACAAGACGATCTCTGATATAGGCCTGCCATTCCAAAAACAAAAAAAATTTGAGTAAATGAAAACAACGTTTAATCTTGAGAAACTAAATGAAGAAATAACAAGAAAGACGGAAGAATGAAGCGGAATACTCGAGTTATACCCAATTAGTGACCCACGATAACAACGCAATATGAAAAAAGTAATGTAAAACTATGACAAATAGAATCAATGACAATACAGAATTGAGAGTCTGTATAGATTTGTGGAATTAGTGTATGCTCCACATGAGTTCTTAAGCATGATTTGGGTCATCTATTATTATGTCCGACCTGATAACCATACAAGGTTTTTGTCTCTAAAGACTGAGTAGTCATACAAACGGCGTATTCTAATTCAATAAACGACTAGTTCTTCTACCAACTCAGGATTTACATGTACAGAGTGCTTGCCATCTCCTCTCCCAAAAAAAATTGAGGAGTTATCGATGTTCCACTCCCACCTTCGATGTGCAGCGAAGTAGAAAAGTTTTGAAAGAACTCCAAAATCAAATAAAGGGCGCTGTTTTGAATAATCACAATCACGCTTTCTTCTGGAGCCATTTCAAAGCATAGACCTGTGTGTTTTGGCCAGAAAGTAACCGGGTACTCATAAAGTCTCAAATAGTTCATTATTCACCAAGATAATCTATAACAACGTGATAATTCAACATCAATCACTTCACACTGGAATTTATAAGGAAAGTAGAGTAGAGTTACTGCTCTTTGGCGTGGTCAAGATGATATCCCTCCAACTGTCCAATACGATGCAGGGCGGACTTCCAGGAGAGGAGCTTGCCATCGATCCCTCGTTTTTTGTGATCCACGAAGGAGCCAATGTCGGAGGGGTTGAGCTTATAGAAAATGGGAATGATGGCATAGTTCCCGGCGTCCATGAAATCCAACATCTTGTCCAGCACCACGAGGCAGCCCTTGCTGGAAGCGTACTCCGGCGAGATGATCGGTATCGATATCTTCGACTGTCCAATCGCTTCTACCAGCGCAGGGTCAATTTCCTTGTCTGCCCTCGCCATCCTTTTGTCTCTAAACACGCTTATTCCAGCACCGGTCAAGCCAGTGCCAAGTGGATTTGCGAGATGCTCGCGTGTATCTGCTCCTCGAAAGCTCAAGAGCACTTCATATGACGATGATGAATAATTGGTAGCCTCCATCGCCATGAATTAGAGGAAATTGCCTGCAAGATATTTGTTTCACTCTCTCTTTCTTCTTTTTTCCCCCTCTTAACTCGAGTATGGAGGAAAGTTGGAGCAACACTTTCAAGTACCAGAACTAGATAAATGTGCAGCAAAACTCCTCAGTCTTGAATCTTAATAGACCAGTACACAGTAAGGGCCGTTGACTTGCAGTTGGTGCCGGTCGTTTACTGTTTCAAGTTTGATTGGTCTAGGAGTAAAAAGAGTGAGATCCATTTTCTGAGTACCGAAGCGTTTAGCGTTTATTTAGAAACTATTATACATTTGCCATTAATACGTATATTCTCATACCGAAGGGATCACTAATTTTCCAAAGGAAAAAAAAAAGGGGGGTCAACCCAATTTGATTAGTCTATAATATGCCTCGTACGGCAAACTAAATCTCACCAATGATAATGAGGTAATTCCCATAACAACAACCCCCTCCCCGCCAATGTGGATAAAATCCTTTTGCCCTACACGAAACTCTCTTAATCAATCCTTAACGGTGGATACAATGCATCATCGAAAAAAGTACCAATGGTTGAGATATGGCAACACTAACCCATCCATGGAAGTACCGCCTCACGTTCCTTGGATGCGTGCACCTAATTTATTGGTATTGATTATGAAAACTTGGTTGATTTCAACAAAAGGTTATGTTGAAGGGTGGTTAGGAATACTTGTTGAGAAGCAATAAACGCATTCAAACTCCATCAAAGACTGAGTAAATTACAGAATCTGCAAGCATAACAAAAGCAACTGAACACTTGAAAATTACATCTTCCATTTTCTGATGACAAAGGGACATTCTTTAACATTCTTCTTCCAAATATATGAAAAACTCGTAATAACTCCGCTAAGAGACGACAAAAAGATAGGAAAATTGTACCACATGCCCTAAATTTTATGTACGAAGTGCAAATTGAGTCATAGATCTTTTAATTAGTTCAATCAAGTCTAAATATCTACCAAAAAATGTGATTGAGTCCTAAAATCCTTCAATTGATTCAATTAAGCCTCAACCTTTATCGAAAAATGCAATGAAGTCCTAAAATTATGTTGAAAAGTGCAATTTGAGGATGCCACATAAGAACATTTTGAGTGGCACCTAGGCAATTTTCAGGTACAATTCATCCAAAGGATTGATTTTCTCTTTGTGAAGAAGGTTTAGCGAATCAATTAAAAAGTTGATGAGTCAATTGCATTCTGTACGTAAAATTTAGGACTTCTTATGCTATTATCCCAAAAAAAAGATATATTTTATTGTGTGATACATCTTTTAGGCTCCATTTGTTTTGCGAAAAATGTGATATTTCTAGAAAATATTTTTCAAGAAGTCATTTTCCAGGAAAATAATAATATTTTTCCGGTGTTTGACAAAAACCTGAAAATGAACTGGAAAATATTTTACATCATTTGGTTAGGAAAATAAAAAATAGACATCTTATTTAGGCACTAATGACATGCGCATGGGCAGCCAGGAAATTGAGTACGGGCACTAGGGCCCCCGAGTTCGGTCTTGATGGATCTGACCCGGGCACAGGTACTTGGGCCCTGGGCACGAGCACGGGTATTGATCCCGGGTCTGGTCATGATGGACCCGAGCACCGGGGACTGGGGCATGAGCTCCGAGGTCCTGGACTCTACCTCAATGGTACCGAGCACGGGTGTTGGAGACACAGGTACGAGCACCGGAGTCCCAGGCAAGGCCTCGATAGACAGAGGCGCAGGCACCGAGGTCCCGAGGCCTGCCTCGATGGACCTAGGCTTGGGTGCCAAGGTCCCAGACCCAGCCTCCATGGACCTGAGCCTAGGCACCGAGGACCCAGCCAAGGGTACCGAGGTCCCGAGCTTGGCCTCGATGAACAAGGACCCGGACTCAATGCACTCGGTCCCAAGTGTAAGGACACTAGCATGGCCTCAATGGACCTTGGCCTAAGTGTTGCGAACTCGGGCCCGACCTCAATGGACATGAACCCGACCTTGATGAACCCGGTCTTGGGCGTGGGATCTCGAGCCTAGGCGCTATGGACCTGAGCCCAACCTTAATGGACCTGTGCCTAGGTATTAGGGACACTGGCGCAAGCACTGAGATCTCGTGCCCAGCCACCGGCTCTAGTGTTTTGAGCTAAACTCTATGGACCTGGCCCAAGGCATCGGGGTTCCAAACTTGACCTCTTTGGACCCGGGCTTGGCCTCAATAAACCTTGGTGGACCCAAACTCGGACCTGGCCTCTAGACCCAGGTCCAAAGCCAACGGCCCAAAAACAAGCATTGGGGTTCCTATGCCCAAACATAAAGTTTCCGATGCAAGCCTGATATTTAATCATATTTTGAAAAATGATTTCCGATTTTTTAAAAAGGAAATCATTTTCCTGAATTTAAGCATAGATTTTCCATTGACTAAGAAAACACTTTCCGTTGACTCATATTTTCCTAAGTAATTTAAGTGCCGAAAAATAAGATAAAAATTTTTCTGGAAAATATTTTTCGCAAAGCAAACAAGGCTTTAACGGCACATAATTGTCCAAAAGATAATGTCTTTAATGTCTTCACCTAACATTCTAAATAACCATTCGCTAAAAACGAAATTTTCTAGCACAGAATGGAAGATTTATTGAGTTGACTCAAAGTCACCTAAACGGAGTCAAAGCAACATAATTAAGAACTGTTACAACAACTCAGATTAAAAATAAAGATTTTAAAAGTTGTTTCTAATCCCACCTCTAATGCGCATTGTAGACTCATCAAACGGATGAATTGGGTCATAAATAATTCGATCCAAATTGATCCATTTAACTTGTTTCTTATGATTTCTTAAAAAATTGTATTGCTAAAACACTTTCATGCAATACAAATCTAGTGGACAATTTTTATATTTTTTTTAAAAAAATTTGAGGTTCCGTTTGTTTCGTGGAAAATATTATCATTTTCCGATGTTTGACTGAAACCTGAAAATAAACTAGAAAATAATTTCCGCCGTTTAGTATGAAAAATCTTATTTGATTTTCCTCTGTGCACTCCTTTCAATAATTTTCATTTTTATTTTTTCTGTTTCTTTTTCTTTTTATTTTTTTAAATCGTATTTTTAATTATTTTTTTCTTTTTCCTTCTTCTTTTGGCCGATCGCCGACCACAGTGACTATCGGCGACTGGCCACAGGCAAGGGACGAGCTCGCCGATCTGGCAATGCCGAGGCCTCGCTGACCCCTAGCTAGCCTCACTGATCTCACCGGCCTTGGGCGAGCTCGAGCTTGCCGATCTGGCCAGGCCAAGTCTAATGCCAAAGGTCGGCGAGGCCTCACCAGATCGGCAAGCTTGTCCTTCGCCTATGGCCGGTCGCCAACCGTCACTCGGGCCGGCCACCGGCCAAGGAAGAAGAAAAAGAAAAAGAAATAAAATAAAAAAAGGAAAGAAAAAAAAAGAAAAATAAATTAATAAAAAATTATAAAAAATCAGAAAATTAAAAAAAAATAAAAATGACTTGTTTATAGGTAACCCATTTATGACCCATTTAATACCTATTTAAGACCTATTAAGTTAATAGGTAACCTATTTATGACCAATTTAAGCTTATTTTTAAGACTTAAGCCAACCCATTTATGACCCACAATCATTGACTATGAGTTAAAATATGGGTTCTAGACCCATTTTATCACCTCTAGCGCACTGCTACAATAGCATGTATAAAGTAAAGGGTGGACAATTACCAAAAATATATTAAACCTTTTATACCAATGTCAATTTAATCATAAACCTTTTAATTTGACAAATTTAATCCTAAACCTTTTGATAATTTGGCAATTTAGTCATTCCCGGCCAATTTTAGCTGAAAATCGCTAACATGGACACTTGCTATTCTACGTGGTACAGCTGGCGCTGACGTGGATAATTTTTATAATTTTTCTAAATGTTCAAATTTTAATTATTTTTTCTTTTTAATTTTATTTTCTTTTTTTCCCACTGTGCCCCACGAGGGTCACTAGGGCCTTGCCAGCTACAGTGGGAAAAAAAAAGAGAAAAATTATTAAAAATTGTAAAAATTATTCACTTCAGCACCGGCTGTGCCACGTAGGATGGCTAGCATCCGCTTCAGTGGTTTTCAGCCAAAACGACCAAAAGGACTAAATTGTCAAAAGATTGATGGGTAAATTGATCAAATTGAAAGATTTAAGACTGAATTGGTGTTCGTACAATAAATTTTAATTGTTTCTTGGCAATTATCCCAAATGGAAGGATTTGCGTCTAATGTCGGATATGTCCAAAGGGAGGAGTCTATCCAGCTAACACCTTAATAAATAATTTATATTTACGAGGAAATATAACTGCTAGAGGCTCAAGAACCTATGATGTCTCCCAACAAGGTCTTAGTTTATTCCTTGTGTCCCCACAGGTAATAGTGAGATGGGCACCCTCCCTGTCTAGTCTCTCATGGCCTTCACCTGTTGCCCAACTTCAAAATCCTGACCGCACATCTCTACAGTTGAGCTTTCCTCAAAAGCAATTCCGCTAAGTTGTTGAACCCTCTCTACTTTTTCATGTGGACTTCTCCCCACATCACCGACAAATAGGAAGAAATTAACCACATCTTTACACGATATTCTAATGTAGTTAATCGTTGACATGGTGATCCAAACATCGCTAGCCGTCCTAGTGGCACATCACCCAGTCAGTATTTTCCACTATATTGGAATTTTGCTCAAAGATGTAGGACTAAATTGGCAAAATTAGAGAATTTAGGACTAAATTATCATCCGTACAATAGGTTTACAACTAATTAGACGATTTTCCCCACTAAATTACACCAAAAGCAAACTCACAAGTGCTAATCACAATATTCACTAAGAAGATGCACAGAGAAAACCCTAATTTTTTTAATCACTCTAATGTATAACTTTTGAAAATAGGTCAAAACAAAGCTTTAAGGGTCCGTTTGTTTCGCGGAAAATGAATGATTTGGAAAATATTTTTCAAAAAAATATTACTTATATCATTTGAAATAATTAGTTAATGAAAATATTTTTGATATTAACAACAATTTATATCTAGACATTTTCGTGGCTAATGAATATATTTTTCGTTTATTCATTTTTGTAAGCGATATAGGTCATCATTTTTAGAAAAATATTTTCCAAATTATTTATTTTCTGCAAAACAAACAGAGCATAAAATATCGTATTTTCGAGATCCATGTGAAACTCGGCGCCTGCTCGGAATGGGCCAGCCTCCCGCCCAGTACCTAATAACTACAAGCTACTTGGCGCATCTGGCCAGACTCCACACACCCGTAGCAACTCCAAACATGTCTCCAACCTATCTCGATCTCTACTTTGAGCCACAAATTCAACGGTTGGATCTTTAACAGGATCAAATTTTCCAACTATTCGGGCAATGGCTCCGTTAGGGCGTTATCTCACATCTTTTGAATACGGGATTCGAATGGACTTTCTATATAGGTGGTCGCTTTTGACCTAACAACTAAAGCCTTTGAGCCGGGCATTCAAACAATATCAGCGGTTATTGTTTGATATATACTCAGCTAGTGAAAACCTTTTTTGTTAATTTAAGCGGAAAAGAACATGATACATGGAATATGGTAGAGCAAGACCATTAAGACAAAGAAAGATTACATCAAATAATAAATCCTAAATCTATCAAATAACATATGACACTAAAATCTTGATTTTTACTGCATCATTAACCCTTTATTTAATCGGTTTTTAGGATTTTGGAGTTGTAGATAGTTTTCTTACAGATTTGGGTAATTAAGTTCTAGATTAAATGTTAAAAGATTGTTATTTGCTGTAATCTTACTTTATATAATCGGTTTTTAGGATTTTAGACTTTTAAATAGTTGTCTTATAGATTTGGGTGAATAAATTCAAGATTTAATTTACTTTTTTTAATAGCTTTTCAAAATGTTGTTCACGAGCCTCAACAACAAGATATTGAGACTTACGAATTTCCATTTGAAAAGGCAGATGATTTCGAACTTGAACGTTCGTTTCGAGAGCTAGTGAAGATTTTTGCAATAGCGGAGAGATTGAAACCGATCCAAATCATGAAACCAGGTTTCTCGTGATAAAATGGAAGTAGTTGAAGAAGGAAAGCTTGAATTTCTATAGGAAGTTGATTTTGTGATGCCTCAAAATTTTGCAAAATCAATTGACGGATCTATCTCAAAGTTTGGTTGGAATCTTTCTTCAACGCCAAGAACTGTTTTGATTGATTTCGTAGTTGTGATTCCAAATTTCGAAAAGGACTGCAAGAGATTTGCTTTATGATCGGATAATTCGGCGTTTTGAAAACTGACACTGTAAAAACGGGTAGATACGAGTCACAAATTGTGAATACACATGAAGCGGGACAGACAAAAACTACCAATTTCCTATTGATTCGAAGGACAAGATCATTACAAAAGAGAATAATGCGATATAAATAGTCTAAAAATCCTAATGATTCACTAATAAAAGATAATTGAAAAAAAAGTAGACAAATCTCCTAAAATATTATCTAGCATCTAATTGCACGAATCTCTTAAGAAAATTAATCAAATCAGAGGGCCAGTTGAGTGGAAGATTGTCGCATCTGGAGATGTCGAGTTCCCGGAGACAAGAAAGGCGGGAAATACTTGGAGGTAGGTCAGAAATCCGAGTGTGGGATAGTTTCAGGATTGCCAAAGACGACAATCTCGTAATGTCGTCGGGGATTTCCCCCATCAAACTCCGGCATAACGAGAAATCTATCTCTTCCAGCTTCTCTAGATTCAGTATAGCTTGGGGAAACTCCTGTATGAAAGTACCCCTCATCCTCAGTACTTTCATAGCTTTCAAATCCTTGACCGAAGAAGGTAAGTCCTGAATTACAGTGTCGGATAAATCCAGGAGTTGCAGTGACCTGAGCTTCCCTATTCCTTCTGGAAGATTGGATAGACTCCGGCAGTTCTTCAGAGACAGTGTCTTCAGTTTCCCCAGCGACTCGATGGACTCCCGGAGGGTACGGATTTCAGTGCCGTCTAGAGCGAGATACGTGAGAGATTTTAAGTACCTGATTGAATCGGATATTTCAGACAGCTTTTTACAATCGCGAGCACTGAGTATTTTGAGTTTCCTCACGGAACCTTCTTGGAAATCAATCTGACAAATGGAAGTTCCATCGATCACCAGCTCTTTCAAGCCTCTCATGGGATGCAAATCTGGCAATTCAAAGACGGGACTGCACTGCTTCATATTCAAAGAAACCAGCTTCTTCAGATTACGAAATGATGGATGGATAAATGCTAATCTAGAGCAACCTTCCAGAATAAGTCTTTCCAGCTCCATTGGAGCAGGAAATTCTGGAGAGGCATTCAACTGGACACAACCAGTTAGTTTCAAAACTTTCAGTTTATTTGCCTGCCAGATAAAGAGGATATGATAGTAAATGTTTAGTTCCTGAGAAACACGTGTTAAGAAAAGAAGTACGATGATAGTAAATTCATTCCACACCTTCACAAGCAGCAGCTTCCATCCCCTCCAGTCTTCGTCAACCTGACTCCACGACAAATCAAGAATCACCAAGTTTTGCAAATTCAGACTTAGCGCTTGAATGTCAAAAGTCTTTGGGCACCCTTGCCAATCAAGCCACCTTAAGCTTGAAAGACGACCCCCAAAGTTTCCCCGAATATCAGCACGATCCAGCTTGAGGAACCTCAAGTTCTGTAAACCATCAAATCGATCGCATTCAAAACTGAGGTTCCCTTCAGATTTGTCAACAAACTCAAGTCCAAGAGCTTTAACTTTCTTAGTTCCCTGTCAATCAAGCAAAACAAAATCAACTTAAAAGAATAAAAATGTCTTTTAGCATCACACTTGACGAATAATTGAATGAAAAGGATCATTAATGGCATCAATTGGCATCTAAAGAAAAAATGGTGTGGTGCAGTGCTCGCAGAAGTTACCTTCCTTCTTTTTAGTACATGAAGTGCTTCTTCGTGGTCGCACAGCCTGCTGCGCTTGCAAGGTTCATCTCGGTTTTCACTCTTGACAATTTCCCGGCCAAAGTGCTTCAGTATTTCATGCATGCATAATTCTTTATCCTCTCCGATTTCCACCAAAGACCTGGCAAGAAGAGCTAGAATCGATTTAGAAGCAGAATACTTACAGTCATCCCACATGTAATAGGGGATTCTCTTGTCCTTTCCGATGAAGAAGCATGCTATATCAAGAAATATCTGCCGTTCATTCTCGTCGAGTTTGGTATAGCTCTTCTTCAAGGCTGCTTGGACTCTCTCACAAGGTGCTGCTTCCAATGCAGCCAATGTTTCTCTCCATGCTCTCTTATTTTTCACAAGAAACAGAGATGAACCTACCACCATGAGCGCTAAAGGAAGCCTGTCAGTAGCAGCAACGATATCTTCTGACAGAATCTCGAATTTCTTACGGGGAGAATCCGTTCCAAAAGCATGCCTACAGAATAATTTCAGCGCATCTTCTTGTTTCATCAGTTCGAGGACAAAACTTCCCGCATTATTGATGTTAATAAGGACGCGTTGACTTGGGGATGTCAGGATGGCCCTGCTGCCCGGGCCAAGCCAATCAAGCTCCCCGACCAATGCACTGAGCTGTTCATGATCATTCACATCGTCAAGGAGAAGGAGGACCTTCATGTTGCAAAACCTGTTCTGAATATAAATAAGAGCTTTGTCGGGACAATCAAACTCTGGGCCATATCCTTTATGGAGGTCGGCAATTAGTTTGTTTTGCACAGACACGATGCCTTGATCTTTAATTTTGGCTTGGATGTTCCCAAGAAAACTACAGGCATCAAACAGATGATAAAGTTGATTATAAACATATTTCGCCAGGACAGTCTTACCAACCCCCGGGATACCATATATTCCTAACACCATTTCACGTGTGTCCCCAATTTTAACCGCTTGCCCATTGTGGTAGTCAATCTTCAGCTTCGCCATTATGTCTTGCACATGAGGATCGACTCCGACTAAATGTTTCGTCACAATTAGGTCCTCCTTCTTCAGCTTCTGCTGAACTTGGTAGACAATTTGCTTTATGAGCTTACCATGAGACCTGCCAAATGTAAATGAAATGAAAAGGACTGGGAATGGCGGATTTAAACAGGAAGAAAACCTATTTGTGCATTGTGCAGCCATTGTCATGGTTATAATAACGAATATATAATTGGGTATGATTTGCACCTAGTTAATCTTAAAAGTGGGCAAGATACATGAGAAAAGTAATCTGAGACCAGAGCGTGTCATCGAAATTACATTCCGCTGGTTTCGTGGAGATGGTGTCCCTTCAACCGTCCAATCTGATGGAGAGAACGCTTCCAGGAACCAATGACCTCGCCATTGATGTTGCGCTTCTTGTGCTCATGGAAGGACATCTTGATAGAGCCGTTGCATTTGCGTACATTCTTCGGGTCGATGTAGTAGAAGATTGGGATGATGATGTGATCGTTGTCGTTCGTGCACTTCAACATTTGGTCCAATTCCATGAGGCAGGTCTTGCTGGACGCGTAGTCCTGGGAGATGATGGGTATTGATATCTTGGACTGCACGATTGCCTCCATCAGCTGCTCGTTGATTTCTACGCCGTTCTCCAGTTCTTCCTCGTCCCTAAAGACATGAAACCCAGCATCTCTCAACGCGATGTAAAGGTGTTCCGCGAAATTCCTGCGCGTGTCCGGCCCTCTGAAACTCAGGAATACATCGTAGAGTGGCCGTCTAGACATTGATGAGGAATGATTGGTAACGGGACTAATGTCCTTTGTTTGCGAAGCAGATCTTGAGACACGTACGAAGGAGCTCGGTCACTATGAACGTGCACGTACTTTGAGCCGGCCATCCCCACACTTATAGACCAGAGATGGTTTGGTTTTTGGTGAGCAGATCGACTGTTGACTGGTCGGTGGCAGTGGCGCTTGATGATCTTCTCTTTTGGTTGGGCTCTGTTCGGTATCCGGATTAGTTTTCGAACATTTTCTTCGCTCTTCTTATTTCAGTTGTGTTTTTTGTTTTGGTTTTGTTTTTTTCCTTCCAAATGAGGAAACTGTTCATGAAAAAAGGACATTAAAGTTCAAAAACCTAGTAATTCTTATATTTGTGAGTAAAAAGAAGGGCAACACGTATTGATGATCCGATAATAGCGATTACTCTCATGCAGTCTACCATCTTCATTCTTCAAAGGAAGGAGTCCACGACCTAATACTTCAAGAAAGGACTTGTAGTCCACTAATGGAATCCAGCACCATTTGAATCAATAGATTGTCATTCATATGCCAATTGAATTACATAATGTATCCAAGCATGCATCGTAAAAAGTTACTAAGATATGATGCTGAACCAAAAGCTTAAGCAATAACATGATGATGACAGCACAAGTGTCTTATACGTGGAATTAATGAATTTGAGAATCGAGATCACGAGAATCCACACACAAAATGATTTATCACTTGGTTCATAAACGATCCAAGATCCGAATCTCAACCAATTGTAAAAGAATTCGACACAAAAAGCCTAAATTACTATGCTGGAAGAGGCATATTTAGATTGATTCCACTGCTACCTGTATTTATGCAATGTATAGCAGGTGTTTGCACAAAAAGTTAACCAGGTCGTCAATTTGGATAGTCACGTGACTAAAGTTATCGATTTCCTTGTACACCTATGATATTTCCTATCTAGAATCACCGCAGAACCTGTCTCCTCTAATAAAAATCGAAAAAAGACTTTCGGTAAAAGGTATTTCGTCGCGAAAACAAATTCAGGTGAAACATCTTTTTGACACGCCTAGTGGGACCAGTGTTCTGATTTAAGGAAGTACAATGTTAGAACAATGAATCAACTAGATCCTGACAATGCTGGCAATAACAACTCGTCACTGCACCTTGGCAATGACAGGACATAACATTTGTTGCGACCTCCCCACAGCGCAGCCCTCAAGAGCCACGGGTGGGATTAAGAGGCTAATGGATTGCTAAGTCTAAACTTAAGATTTAACTCGGACTCTCCCAAGCCCATACCAACTCACGACTTATTGTTGAAGTTATTAACATGCAAATCAATTTTTATTTAGGAGTCGCCACTAATTAGTTTAGGGTAGGTCAATTAGAAACCCAACCTATGAACCAAAGATTCAAATGAGTTTGGAGACTTGATTATACTAGTTATCTAACCAGTACCCTTTCGGTATCTAACCTTATTCAAACACCACCTAAAGTGATCATGCAGTCTTCCTATCGATTTGTGAATCCTAGAGTTCTAATCCTAACCAGACTAGGGAAACAACAATCAATGCATCGGAAGAGCGTAAGCAACAGTCAAACTTGCCTCTAATCAACCATATGAAAGGTCGAATCAAGCATGGCGTTAATCACACAAAAAGGGCAAGAAAGGACAATTTCGAAGCCCAAATACTATTTTTTTATATTAAAAAAATTAATTTTTATTATATTTTTTAAATATTAAAATAATAATATTATATATAAACAAACCCGGGTTGAATCTCCAGATTTGAATCGGGCCTGGCCCAAAAAAAGGGTCGGGTCAGCCAGAACTCGCGGGCCGAGTTCGACCCAGCTTCGCAAGCCCGACCAACTCGACTCTTACGTGCCTCAGGCACACGAGGCTCGGCCAAGCCTCAACCTGGGCATCTTGCGCCCAAGCTCTGACTGAGGCTTCGCAGGCCACACTCGGCCACTTTTGGCTTCCATTCGGCCTTGCCCAGCCACCCGACGGCTACCATCAGAGCTACAGCACCCCGACCGATCCATTCGTCGAGCAGATGGGGTGCATGACTAGAACAAGGGGTTCCTGACCTCTCTCAGGGCTCAAACCAGCGCCGACGACCACGACACACCCCTTATGGTGATGCTCTGATGTGCTCTCTCTACTCTACACTCTGGTCTGCTTGTTTTTACTTGGTTATCCGCCGGCCACCTCTGTGCTCGGCTGTGGATTGGCCACCGCGACAAGGGAGAGAAGAAGGGAGAAGGAAGGAGAAAGGGAGCCGGGCCTAGCCAGTTCGCGTGAAGGGGGAAGTGGGCTAGGCTTGACTCGTGCAAAGGGAAGGGGGAAGAGAAAAAAAGAAAGGGGTCGGGCCCAGGGGAAGAAAGGAGAGGGCCGGGTCGACCCGGCCCAATCCAAATTTTTGTAATTATTTTTTAATATTTTTTATAATAAAAATATGTTCTAATTAGTGCAATTAATGAAAATATGCCTATTGTCTATATGACATGCGATTAAATGAAAAAATATTTTTATTTTAGGGGTTAAAAAATTAACTCCTAAATTTTGTGCAATTAATTTTAATTGGACAATTAGATTTTCGGTGTCAACAATATTCTGAGTCATCAGTTGCTTAGTGGGTGGTAGAACGAGAGCAAGGTGGAGATGTCGACATTCCAAGGCAACTCACTTATGAGCAGGGAAGGCAGTTGAAGCCAAGTCCTATGTTATTGGCTACAATGAGACTGATGTTTGAAGAGCTACAGAACGAAACAACTAACCACATGATGAAATATCTTATCGATGTGGTCAAACCAATGATTGTCAATACACTTCAGGGGGCTATACCCAAGCCTGGAGCTTCAAGCCAGTCAATTCAGATGCATGTAGATCCTATGTCCATCAGGTATGTTCCATCATCAAATTCTGCTCAAATTACCTTTGGTACAGTAGGACAAATAATTCCACCCCCACCACCGATTAGGATTTTACAAAGGCCCGAGGTCATTGGTGCAATCCAGAACAGTGGAGTTGCACCTATCAAGGGAGTAACTTGCCTAACACTATTCAGGTCAACTTAGGTAGGGATAACAATGGCAATACGGTGAATCAGAATGCCCAGCAAAATATACCATTATCAAATGTGGAAAATATGCAACCTGCTAGGCCAATGCCTCATGTCGATAATGATAGACCACTGTCTTCACCTAGGGTGCAAGATGGTCAAAGGCCCTTAGGAGAAGCAATGGTTCTGCCTAATCTTGGATATATTCCCCAAAGGCCTAATGTGGTAGTTGATAATTGTTGGAAAATTTTCTTATTATGTTTTAAAGATGACAAAATAATCAAAGTCTACTAATTTGTTTAATGGTTAAGTAGACCAGGTGTAAGATGCACAAGCCCTTATATAAAAGGTGTCCTAACAGGACGTCTAAAGGTTATGAGTTTTCTATCAATGGTGAACATACCCAGCTCTAGGTGATATTGTTAGACCACTACCCATGCCTAGGGGGCAACCTGGTCAAGAAGTCCTCGATGGCTGCTTTTCTCTCACTAGAAAATCACGAAAACTTCTCCTAAGATCTTTTACCGATCTAATTTCTTGTTGAATTGAACGTGCTTTTAAGATTCGATCCTTGTTGTAATGGTTTTGTCTTCTAATCGTGTGATAATCGAGCTCTCCATAGAAGGAGCTTCGTAATGCCACCAAAATAGAGAGAGAGAGAGAACTAGAGAGAGAATGAGTTTTAAACATGAAGCGACGTCATATTGTCAAGAAGGGCCAGGTAATTATCCATGCTGGAATTCCTTTTTGTTTTTATATAAGAAAGCTATGTAGACATTAAAATTTTATAAAAAAAAAAGCCACGTGGAACGAATTGCTGGAGTTTGTTGCCAGAAGCACATAAATGATTGTTTTTTCACCAATGTTACACTTACGTGGTCGCTCGAAAAGTTTTGACACTACAGTAAGCGTCGTACGAAAGTTATGATAATTCTAGTGTCGTTTTCCCTAGATATATAATACTATTATTCTCATTTAAAATCATGTGAATTGGCTCACCGTGACTGTTAAATGGTTCACATTTGAGTTCAAAATTTGTAATATTCAATTTTAATTAGTGTAATCTCATTCTGGTCATAATTTTAACGTACAATGCACAAGTAATTGACTAGTCGGCATTACATGAATAAATCAAAGAATTTATATCGTACACAGACAATAAAGTCTATTTTCCCTTTTACAAAAGTAGTCTTTAGATTATGGGAGCAGTAACTTAACATAAGAAATAGTTATGTATCATGATCTCAAAACTTTTTGTAAAGAAAAACTACACTGATGGTGCATTGGTGCTTTTTAAATAAGTCCATTTTAATAAATTTCTAGATTTATATTCTTCGGGAATTCCAGCATAGTCAAACTGTTAGACAAAAAGGTCGGTTCAATGGTCCTAGTTATTGTTTAGCACGTCAAATAACAGAGAAGGATGAGAAGAAAACCATCAAAGAACAAAACTTATGGAAATAAAGAGAAACCGATTTGCTTGGTTTCTAGTTTTCTTCCTGAAAAACTCGTGGCCACAATTGTTCCGTCATTCCTAAAAATGATGGAGCGATCATGCTAGGGAGGTTCATACATACATACATGATTACGTAATAAAAGGACACAAGACAAACTCAACTCTACATTTCCTTTTGAAGGAAACGAAAAAATAATCATGATTATGCACATGATTTCTCCAACTTCAAAGTGTCAATAGTCATAATAATATATTAGAAAAGAGGACAATTTTGCAAAAGAAAGAAAGAGGTTATGGAACAAGATTAATTTTTTTTTTATGATTTTCTTTGAATATAACCATGAAATATCGCTCAGCCATCAGCACCAACATTAACGAGGAGGTCAGTCCTCTAATTGGAGGCTTTGTAACATCCCATTTCACATATCTGATGAGCAAGATCTTGTGTTATCATTCACCCACTCTCAAAATGGTTGCCACGTGAAATGAATCTAGTCATTGCATTACATCGTTTAATCTAAAAGTTTGAGTTCTTGCATTATAAGTTTAAAATATACTTATTTAGAAATTGCAATTTTTAAATGTTGTAGAGGGCGAG